GGGGCGGAAAATTGGTACCAGACTTGTCTAGGAGGGTAGCAGCACAGGTTCGATACATCGGTGGGTCACCATGAGGCATTGTGAAGGCCGGATATGCATTCAATCACTTCAAAACGAGCTTAATGATGTCTAATGCATGGCGCAACCTTTTAAGGGAAACAAAGTTCCAATGTAAATTGAATTACTACGCAACCTCCTCGTATAAAGATAAATCTTCATCGACGGCTACCAGTGGACTAGGTGTTGAAAGATTTCCTTTTTATTGACACAGAGACGTTGAAATTAAGTGGGTTTATATCGTTAATGCTAGGATTAAAGGTATTTTGGAAGATTATGGTAAGCCGGAAAAATCTGTAAACCAGCAAAAGAAAATATCTTTGACCACTTGGAAATTGCATTTATGAAGAAACTCCCGTTCCAATTCCATTAATTCCATTAACTATCAATGAGATTAATATCGCTATCATTAACTGCCACGACCGACTTTCTATTAACCTCGGCATTGATCAAGTGATTTTCTTCGAACTTTTGTTGAGCAAACGCGAGGTGTTACTATTCTTTGTTCACGATTAAGCTGACGTTTCGGCGGATTTCGCCTTCTTTAGAGCCGCTTTCTATAAGGTTTCCACTAATTATGTCACGTAGAGACCAACCGCACAGAAATCACGTGGAAGTATAAAGGCGAAATCCGCCGAAACGTCAGCTTAATCGTGAACAAAGAATAGTAACACCTCGCGTTTGCTCAACAAAAATACGAAGAAAATCACTATCATTATTTTATCGCCACCACTTCAAATTAATAGCGAGTTTTTCCAGTCTATATAAACTGGAAATTCTGCTCCTAATTGAGAAGAAACATTTCATTTTATGAGTTTTTGGCAAGAAGGTTATTTGGAAAACATTCAAGCAGTTTCGCTAAACTTCCAAAGTCTACATTCCAATGTAAAAGCTCGTTAGTTCAGTTTTGACATGAATTCTTAGGAATGATAACGTAGTATAGGGCATCACGACAAAAAACTTCCCGGAAACGAATCATCTGGGGAGATAAAACGGAGAGGAGAACACTTTTGTAGACCGAAATGTATTTAACTTGGGCATGGAAAGTGAACATTTTTTTGAAAATCTTAGATTTAGATTTCAAGATATTGCCATGCTACGTGCCAACAAATGATGCACCGACTGCTGCAGGATGAACTGCCCACCAAAAAGGGTAAGGAAACCAGACTGGACGACGGCATCGGCTATTGGATCGGCCGATATCCGTCCTAAGTGAAAGGCACCGCCGAGTGAAGTTTCGCAAATGAACCGTGCGCCTTTCGCAGGTTGGCTAAATAAAAGTTTTTTTTAATACTAACTTCGGCTCACCTCAACCACATAGAAAAAATTGACTTTTTATCAATTATTGGAAAGTAACGACAGTGAAGAGAATCTTCGATGTGCGGCCATCTAGCACTTACCACCGACGTCTCCACTTCGAAATCAGTGTAATGTGAGAAAACAACTAGAATAAAAGACAGCAAAACAAAGTCAAATGCTGCTATGTGGCCTATACCATAGAATAAATGCTGCTGATTATAAGAGTAGCAACAACAGCTATATTACGGCACTTATCTAAGCGACAAGCTGCGGGAGGGGAAAAGATGAGCGACAGATTTGTGGAAAACTGATATAAACCGTGGCTTGAACGACTGAGAATGTGTGAGTTTACGGCTTTCAACTTGTGATACTACTTCGCTCGTTACCTTTGTTCCTAGTCATCATTGAACCTGACAACCATGAAAGACATTACGGGCAAACTTACCAAATATTACTTATTAAAAAATAACAGTAGGTAAGAAATATAAATAATACAGTAGATCCACTGCCTTTTTGAACACGGTGCCGATGGTATTCAATGGTCAAATGATGGGGTACCACAACCACACAACCTTTTCTTATCAGGTGGCAATCATCCATTCATCCTTGTGAAATAAGACTGTGTGTAGCTCATGATTACAGCTTTTAAAAGCGGCTTAAGTAGGAAGAGTGATGTTATGAAAATAGTTAATGATGGTCGTTAGAGTAGTTATCACCTGCACCACCTGTGAACCTATTAAGAGATATCGAGAAATGAACGACCAGTACTCTGTGTTGTTTAGATAGAGTTCTTCCAAACATTTCTTTGTGAAACTGTGACCAACCGAAGTGGCCACGTTCGTGATTCACTAGAAGACAGCTTTAGGATGGTCATATTGTTGTCTAATCGACATTTTGAATGCTAGCGATGTGTAGGTCTCCCTGCAAACCCGAGATAACCTCTCTAGTGCACTCCCAGGTATTTAGCACAAATAATCGCCTGATTCTTCGTGTAAGAAGCAGACTGATTGAGTTGAAAATAGGATTCTTCTAAGACGTAAAGCAATGGAAACAAAACGAAAGTAAATGCAGCTAACTATTGAATTAATCAATTATGAAATTATTCCAGCGGAGACTGTCGAAGACTCTAATCGTCCTTGTGGCATGCAAAAAGTCGTAAGTGGGCTGGGCTCCACTCATCTGGGGAATACGAAAAATAGGACATCCTCCGTATGTTTTTTCATTAATAAATTTTGGAGAGATACGCCTTCTATTAACCGGCCAGGCCGTTTCGCTGGAGATATGAATACAGATGAAACGACCTTTCTTAAATAGTGGATACTGGACATAAAACTGGCTTATGAAGTATCTGACCATAACGATCCCGGAGATCTAATCATATCATTCGAAAATACTTCCGCACGCCTGTACATACATAATACGTCCATCTTCTGGCAAATGGTTTCCTATTTACACCAACTCCTTCGGTGGGACTCGTAGCTCGCTCCAGTGTGATTAATTCGACATCCGCAAAGGTCAGAAATACTGGTAATTGGATTCGCTGCTAAAGATCTCCTTAATAATCTTAAGGATCCTTCTTAATCACACTTTTCTCTACTAATCTTTTTCAAATATCATGTAAAAAATGTTAATCACGTTGTACTTTAACCAATCTTTGCTTCACTTGCACCTATTCTCGTGGAAAAAAAGACGTGTTAAACTTTACTGATTTCACAGAATAAGAGGTGGAGCACTTTTGCAACGCTAAGAGAGAATGAAGATAGTGCACATTGTGTAGGAATCAGAATCACTCGACTCATATTGGTCAGTCACTCAGTACCCAACTATGGAGAGATAACCGGAAACAAAGGAAAGTCCTGTGCTATCTCGTCAAAATTTCCATATGATATTCCCTAAATTTAGGCTCAACACATATCACCCATTAAGGCACAGTACCACAGCTTTACGAGTCTACATACTTAGACACTGAGCGATTCAAGATTACAAATCGAATTATTCTGATTGTTAGGTTGTGCACACCGGTCTCATTCTCTCATGACGTTGTAAAATGTCAGATCTGAAGCTCTATCAATATTCATTGTCAGATCTGAAGCTCTATCAATATTCATGATACAGACTCTACTAGTTTCGATTTCAGCCACGAGACTCCTCTGAGAAACAACACTTCTCAACTCTAGTTCCAATTCTGGTTGAACTTCCTTCGGCTTGAATGTTTCATAGCTTAAAGTAATTATTCTGTTTCTGGTTTAGCCTTCATGATTTGAATCTGTCCATCTAAATTCTGACGATATTCGGATTCTTGAGCATGGATGAAAGGAATTTGACTCCAAATTTCGAATATCTTTGAACAAAATCTCTCTTGAGAAGTAGTCCAGGAAATAAGATGGTAGAGCAGATCAGTTATGTGAAACCCAATACTTAAAACTAGATCGTCACAATCAAACTACATATGTTTCTCACAGATTATTACCAAACCAGCGGTTGAAATTCCACAAAACACAACACATAACAGCATTTCGGTTAAGAAATGTACAAAGATAAAACAATTAAAGCTGAAAAATACAACAATATAAAAACGAGGACCAAGAACGAACTTGCAACTAGACATTCTACGAAAACGTATCGTTAATCAATTTTTTACAAACAACATTAACGCTTATTCGAACTAAAAAGGCAACCAAGAAATAAAAATAGTAACACACACTTGGAACATTTTCCTTTTCTTCAAAACAAAAACAAGTACACGGGCCGTAAAGAGGTCCGGTTAAAGCACAGAGCCATGTTACAGAAGCAATACACAGCAATAAAGAAGCATTGATCGACACCAAGAACTCCATAATTTCATACTATCAACCTATAGCGTCAATCATGGTCAAGAATCTATATCATTGATTCGTGACCGTTTCTGCTGAAAGAGAAATTCTTCTAAAAGAACATGTAGCCACTTTGTGAATGGACCCGCTACAGTGTGGTTCCTAGATGTTCCCAGAGTACTACATTCGCTCGCATAAAACAAATTTTGAGCGACTTTTTAACAGAAAGACAAAAAATACCGAAAACTAGGGTTGAGCTTTACAACTTCACAGGTTCTATTTCTCTTCCTCATTGGTAATTGTTCCCAGAGGATACGCTTCCTCAATTGCGCTAGAACCAAGGAAACGTACATTATGTTGAGTCATTTCCGAGGTACCATCTATATAGTCCTGAAAAATTTTCACCGCATTTTCTGTGAGCTTTACACGGTACCATAAGGAAATTGCAGTTAATCTATATGCAAACAGAAAATATGGAAGGAAAAGATTCTAACACAATGGAGTGTAGCATTTTCTAAATTTTTCTATAAAATCGATAGTACAACTAAAAAAACATTATGTACTAGGGGTCCGTCAAGAAGAACTTTTTTGAAGATCACATTTTACAGCGAGTAAATGGAACGAGTTTCTTCGTCTAAATGAGTACAGCTCTGATTTCTCGATTACACTAGAGATAGGCTACGATCAACTGTCAATGGTGAGAACAGAATTTTGACTTTAAGATTTTCGGATATAACCTACAGCTACTAATATACATAAGGTATACACTAATACATACAAACATACAAAAGATCCAAAAAGTCCAAGAAATCCTAGAATTTTATTTAGACGTTAATTAAAAGACAAGAGAACCTCGTACAGCAAACCTTTAGAAAAACTCACCCTGAACTGCTGTGCCATCTCCGGATTGTCTCGTAGTAATACAAGTTCTTCAGCACAACAAAGCATAATCGTATCGATGGCCATTTCATAAACAGACAACAAACAATTTGCAATCTGATATGAGCACAAGAACATGATCAATAACGGGAACCACGGATGTGACAGTGACGGCCAAAGCTTTAATTAAAAAGAAAGAAGTTACGTGCTATTAAGTATGGAATTCCTTCGTGTTTTCGAACCTCTTCCATTCTCAGAAATGTACAAAATGTTGTTGCAAATGCGACGAGACACTTCGTTAAGAACAACACCATATCACCAACGCTATTCAATGCTGCAACATCGACAGCATTATCAAGCAAATGATTGACAGCCTGAAAAGAAGGTGATATAGAGAAATTTAAAATTTAGTGGCATAATCAAAACTGACCATCTTTGCCGCTGGACAGAAGCTGAACCCGGAATAAGAGATTACAGTAAAAACATTGTAGTTAATGTATTGCAAACAGTTTTCAATACAGCTTAATATGCAGATGAAAACGCTGAGTATCTTCTTAATAATCACGTTTTCCACCGACCTCATTCTAAAATAAAAAATGCTTTGTTTTCCCTATAATTTGTTACTTTATATGTCACTTCTCAGAGAACATCCAAACCTCGACAATGACCAAATGATAACGTAGCGTGGCACCCGTACGAGTACTATGATAAAAGCACCAAGCGCTGCCGATCCTAAGTGATAACGTAATAAATTGAACAATGAAGACCTCACCGGAGATCGTGGTTCAGTAGATGCAAAACGTCGAGACATAGAAAGCCTGCAACACAGTCACTTCAACTCCCAGTATCCTTTCATAGAAACGCAGAATTTCAACATCACCAAATGTACGTATTTGCAGATATAAGAACAAAGTCTGGAACAATCATTGCCTTATTTAATAAACAAGTTAACTCCCATGTTTTCTGGTCTTGGTATTTCTATCAAAATAAGGAGAAATAGCGAAATGAGAAACATCGTAATCGCTCCCATATGCGCAATGCAACATTGCAGAAATATGCATTCAAGCATCTTTACGATGTTCATTGAAGTCAAATAACTGAAGAACTCCGAACGACTTATTCCTTTAAGCTTTGACCTCACTGTAAAGCCCTAAACTTCAGCTTCTATCAACGACAAGCAATTCTACGTAAGACTGGCTGTATTACTTTCCGCTTTCGCATACGTGTAGCCATTGTACCCATGTGGAAAACGGGTCACTGTCTTTGTTCAAATTTGAAGAAAAAAGATACAAAAGACGCAGTTTTAAAATTCTTCTGATACAGATCACGTCTTAAGGATTTCCATTATCAAGAACGGGCATTTAAAAAAGTGCCACATTTGTGAGAGCGACTAATACTAGGTGACGACCGCATTAAGAAAACCGGATTTTCTGCCCCGCGTTCCGTTAATTGACATCGACCCACAATGCCTCGACGAACGATGAGCCCACTCCTCTATGTTTCTCGTTCTATAGATCGGTTTTTCTGCGTTTCTCATATCCTAGTTCCCATCAATATTCATGTACTGTACGCTGTTGTTTTGGGGCATTGCAACACATCATTGCCGTTATTGAAGGTTTAATTACCAAAGTTTGAGTATAAGATGAAAAAAGGAAAGCAACTACTACACAACTAATTAATCCATATAGGAAAGTGTACATACTTCAGGCAGTTGAACAACTGAGACTCATGAGACTCAGCATTCGCTCGGATACTTGGATAGCCCGTCTTCACTGGTTGTGCAGACCCCAGCATAATTTCCATTGTTTCGGAGTTTTGCGGATTTAGCCATTGTCCTTTCCTGGAGTTCCAAGGTCAGCTAGGCGAAAATCTGTCCCAGGTCGTCACCACCATCAGTAGTCGCCGGCATTATTGAACATAGTGAGATTTGCCACCATGCCACTAGTTTGATATTACGACGGTCACGGCTTCTTGTATTGGTTAGCTCTTACCTTAGTTCACTAATGGAGAAGTCGGACTCAGCTCGGGAGACCCTACTTGGAAAATGAATCCTTACGCAGTATAGGAACTATTCCCTAAATAGTTCCTACTTTCTATATTAGTATATCCTTTCTGTTTACCGGTAACTATCTTAAATCTATATTCGATTCTTCCCTAAATTATCTCTTAACCAGTATCTCATGCAGCTGCTTCGCAGGTGGCTGGAAAGGGATTCTGTAACTTCTTTTAATAAACAGCTCTTCTTTGTCCTACAGTTCGGGCACTGAATGGATAGCACAGCTGAATGTACTTTCCACCAACTGCCGTTCTAATGAAGTTTCCGTACGACTAGCTGCGCCCTTCCACATGTAGCTCTATCAGATTGTGCTTGTAGAAAATCTCTTAGAACCTCTCTCTAGGCGCTGTCTCTAGTTCCCTTTTCCTCTGGCGCAGGTTCACCCACTACGTAAGTAATACAGGCAACCCATATGCATTTGTCTTCGAGTGTTCGTATTGTTCGTTCAGTGTCCATCCAGTTCATTCATCTCGCTCAACTCGCCCACATACTTCGCTCTACAGTTACTGTTGTTATTGTTAATATAATCATAAAATCTGTAACCCAGTGTCTCGAGGCGTTCGACTCAGCGACTTAAGCACAATAGACCCGTGTGGCAGCTACAAGGACTAATATTCCTAACGACTTAGTATTTATGTAAAACTGTGAGCTCAACGCCACAACACGCAGTACATCGTAGCCTGACACACAGAAACACCTCCCAACTACGATGAGGCGGTAAACCGTTGGAAGGTGAGTCAGTATTGGTGAATATTTTTCAATTTATGTTATATAATCCATAAATGATATCAATATCAGAGACATATGCAGAGAAGTGGTTAGAGACGCCCTGCAAAATGCATGGGATCGTGCCCCAGGCTCATTAAGCCTTACATCCCTCCGGAGTAAACAGATTGGTATCAAACTTGTCTGGGAGAATAGCAGCACTGCTCGACACATCGGTATGGAACCACGAGTCATTGTATAGGTCAGATGTGTATTCAATCGCACTTAACGATGCTTAACGAAATCGAGTGCATGGCACATCCCTCAGGGATTAATCAACGTCGAGATATTCGTCCTTTATTAGCTTATTTACGTTGTATGTATGCCCTGCCTAAATTACAATTGTAGTAACAATATTAAAACTCCGAAAGTTAACTGCGGAAGGAAGCCTTCAAATCTAACAACCATACAGGGAAATGGTGTCCAACCTTCCAAAATACTCCAACAGCTGCAACTGATTATTTCAGATCGTAAAGACTGGCCATCATAAAGTGTAACCATGTGATTTCGCAATTTCTGTACAACTCACACATCAAAGTAGTACATACTAACGGCTCCCGCGATGAATAATCGTTGACATGCCATCAAAAATTCTGACACCCAAACGAACCCGAGAAACTGGTAGAACACCATGAGCCTGAAAACCGCAAATAGATGCAGTTTATGCAAAACTTCCGAATGTTGCATACTTCAACCAAGTGCTTCTCTAAAAATAGTTGAGTAAATACAAAGGAATAATCACAGCTACCAACTTTGTTGTTCGCGTCATGTTCGTCTCTATAACTAGTATAGTTTCTTCTTTGTTTCCTCCATTTGACACTCTTCGGCTTACCATGTCACCTGGAAAGCGTTCCATCACTACTAAACCACATCATTAACAGGTAAGTTAGTTGCGATACCACAAAATCTACTGTCAGTGCCACACACTTTCAAGATCACTGCAATATAGTACAAATCATTGAAATAGTCAGATAAACTGTGGATCAAAGATTGGCGAAAATAAAATACCACAGAAAGAAAATGGAAGTGTGCTTTGATGATTTTAGCATCTCAAATAAGTCATACTTCTCAAACTGTGTTAAAGAAATGTTGAAGTGAAAAGCTTTAAAATGAAAACAAACCGGCAGTGAACAGTACGAGCACAACACTTATTGTATAAATGGCAAGAATCAGTATAAGAAAAGCACTCAATAATGGCTGCAGAAGCAATGAAGGCATTGCAGATAAAGCCTTAAAAGTTACAGCGAAATCAATGAGCTCATAGTGTTCATCATCCTTTATAAAAAGTACAGTGGTGACCAACCAATGATGCTCCTTTGAATAAGCGAACCATTTTCTTGCTACGTGGAAAAACGCACCAAACGAAAGAGATAACAAAAACCTAAAGGAGAATGAATAGAACATGAAAAAAGACCACCCACATATACATATATATGCCTTTATATATATATATATATATATATATATAACTCCAAAGACCGACTTTAAGTTAACTGATAAGTTACTTTTCTTATGGTTCTTGATAATCCGCAACCAGATTGCCAACTTCTTCTCGGTGCTCAAGATGATTCAAGGGTCAGCAATTATCACTTCAGTCAAACAAGTCCCGGCATTGCATTTCTGCTAACCTCGGCATTGTTCAATAAGTTGTGTGCTTTCTTGATGAGCAGATACGAGATTATTGTGATGTTACTTAAATATTGAACAGCGACGACACTCCGTTCTGAGAGTCACGATCTCTTGCATCTCGAAAATGGATTGTTGCAAAGTTATTTAATACATAAGTGTAGAGTGGAATAAAAACGACAGACTGTTATGGAAACGTTATTTGGACGTGAAACAAATCTGTATTTGATAGATAGACCGGTACCAACTCAAGACAATGAGACTTATTACCATATTATTCTAGCAACCTTAAATGATTATGAGTTGTTTTAAAGGATATTATTAATGGCAGGCAAATTGTGTATTTCATCGAAGTAAGCATAGAACTTAAACATGTTAGCAAATCGGTCTTAAGTCATGAGATACTTAATGGCTCTAAATTAACAATCCTTGTTACTTTGACTTCATCTGAGTTCTGGTATTGATTTACGAAATCCTCACCAGATAAGCGAACATGCTCTGAGGTAGAATAAGTCGCTGAAATGGCCATTGAGAACCACTACAAAACATGCTAACCGTCTTGCATCGGCCTTTAGAGAACAGATAGGTACATTACGCACATTATATATATATATATATATATATACTATTAGTTTGTTAAGTAACAAATGAACACTTTTAATCATACTTACTTAGGATACTTAGTATGCGTAATTGAAAACGCTCATTTATTTCTGAACAACCTAATAGTTAATGGATTGACAACTCTTCTTATATTAAGTGTGAGGATTTCTGAACTGCATATATATATATATATATATATACGCGCACATATATACATGTATGCATATATATATATATATATATATATATATATATATGGGAGTGTATGGCATAATAGTTGGAGGCGCCTATAACGAACATTCAGTGATTAGTGTAACCGCGTCCCTAGTCTAACCAAGCCCCTATCACTCCTCTGTTGATGTAAAACCATTGATGTGATATGTAAATAAGCCACGTTGAATAAAAAAAAACAATCTTTTTAAAAAATCCACTCACCGAGACAGCTGTAGCTGCAATACTTATCGCTAGCAGTGTTATTGTAGTAATGTTATTATAACCGAGTAACTCGTCAAAATCGAAGTCTAACACGGCTGCCGTCACGGGATGTCTTGATGAAGGGATTTTTTCTGTTCGTACCATTTCCGATGACGTGATGTTACGCCCATCTGTTTCCGTCTTCAAACAGACTCTCCAGAAAGCGTACCATACGCAAGCAGAAAATCCTATTTAAACGAATAACTTTAGTTAGAAAAGAAAGCATAGATTGTGAAATCCAATTTTTTAATGCAAACTCACCTATAGCTAACATGACTACTGCCAAATATATGAAGGAAATAATCATAGCAGCGAAAAAACGCAGCAGAAAGACCAAAACCAATGAAAGAACTGCAAATTAGTGTCAATGAAATAAAGTTCGGTACTCTCTTTAAATATGGTTTTCTTTTGGTAACAACGAGAATAGTGAGATAAGCGCGAATATGACCAATGGAAGAGAACTACATTGGCACATTTTAATGTGGTGCGTCTCATTATCTGCTGGTGATTTTCAATGTGACAAAGAAGTACTTCTTCTAACAAAGATGAATAAAATGGATCAAAAGATTCATTTTGTTGGGCTTGATCCACTCTTAATCACAAATCGATATCGAACTCGACCAAAGAATTTGCATCGTGAACCCTTTTATTACATGGTTCGTTGTCACCATGATACTTGCACGTTGTTCATAGAACAGCTCGATTTTAGCAAGAAAAACGTGCATCTGCTTTCAAAGCATTGGATTCATGAACCTAAGACTTCTGTGAAAATTAGCATAATCCACGATCTTAGAAGATCAAAGAGAACATTAAGCATGACACGGAATCCTCAAAAACCGCATTATTAGTGGGACTGATTTTTTAACACGAAAACGGACAAGAACATTGGGGCGTTTGAAGCAACTAACAACAATACAAATCAAATCGTCAACCCAAATGTAAATAGGCAGACTCTAATGATTGACTTTCATTTTCTAGACTATTACGAGCATCACCTCAAGTAGAACACCTAGGAGTCGCCACATTGTCACTAGTGAACTAACCGAAACGAGTTTAAAAGAAACACTAAATTCATCGCCTTACGTAACGCTATTCATGGTGACCACCACGTTAAGAAAACGACCGCTGTCTGCTGGGTTCACAGAAGGAAAGTTATGTTATCAACTTTCACTGAACTGTTCCTCCGCTGTTCCTAGAAGTAATGAAAGCAACATATTAAAAGCGCAAAAAAGGACTTTTGTACTCGAAAGATACAAATCATTATTCGATGTTTTCATCAAAGGGTCACGGAAGCGCATCTTCATCAACATCGAGTAGAAACACGAAACTTTCTCCATAACTAGCTGAGAAGCAGGAAAGCTCAAAATGTGGTCATCATCACATGTAGTCTTCTTTCTGCTATTAGGGAATAGTAGCAAATACGAAGAAATGTCAGAGTTTAGCTAGTAATTTATAGAAAACAACTTTGTAGAACTGTTCATAAGAGCATTAATCACATGTTGCAAGGAGAGTACAGTGAGAATGATAGTATATAGTGGTACTGCAGTGATAAAAGACGTTGACAGCCTTTTAGCACATCGTCAGTAGTACACTGACGACCTAAATAAAGGTAATAAGACAGCTGCAAACAACGTCGACCTCTTCTATAACTTACTAATCCATCACCTTAAACAAGATTGGTTTCTGTTTCTCTTCTAGTTATCAACTCCGAACTTCGCACTCGCTTAGAAACTCTATAAGCACGCATGAGTGGAAATCAAGAAGTGGCAACATCAACACACTAGTTGAAGCTGTGCTACACAGCCGATATTGGTCTTGGCAGAGTTCGCATCGCCACCGGAAAACAATGTTTTCAGTTAGAGGTTGCAAGTAAACATGAGGAAAACAGAGTAAAGATCAATGTATGAATTCGTCCTTCTCGTCATCTCGCATTCCATACGCGTATCATCCACAATAAACATTTCCGCCGTTCGTCTAAATCCCCCACTCTTGATGCAATTTTTACATCCAAACGACTGCACATAAAGAGGTAAGAATGCAATGCTACCATCCATGTTCCTGAAATCTCCTTCTTCTAGGGTCCCTTTCCCAATGACTTCGCAATATTTTCTTCACTTAAATGTCACTACTAATTTCCTTAATAATTATGATGGTACCACATAGGTAACATCCTGTAATTCACACTCAACCTAAATAGGTCAATTCCCGAACAAATTAAAAACAAGAGCAATATTCGATGTTCCTTACCTAGCGCCACTAAACACATCTGAAGGAGGTACGGCGATGCATCGATAATATCATGAAGGTATCCACGAATTAAATCCATATGAATTACCTAAAATCTCATAGCTTTAATAAGATAACTGTTATTTTAGATTTGTTACAGAGAGCCTTGTAGGACTACAACAAGCTGAAATCCAATTCCACAAACGAACCACCTTCTTAAACAGTTCTTTTCCAAAATCTAGTAGGTTTTCTGGTATGCAACGATTCATTATATCAACACTGAAATTGAGTGAAGAGATCGAACAAATCAACTTGAAACAGAGTATTGTTTTTAAAAAGGGAAAAAACAACTAAAAACAACTCGCGAACGATGTAGAAGACTTAAAGATGGTTCTCGCTAATCTTAGCTCTCAAACTCACCTCTTTAAGATGGGGAGTTGAGGACAGATTCCAAAACGAACTGTCTGCTTTGTCACGTTTAGTGCTGAATCGTAGTCAACGCATAAACTGTTATGACCTTCTTCAGCTAGGATTCGCACATCTAAAAAACATCATAATGAAACAGATCTAACAACTTTCATAACGACATGGATACATAGTCGCTAACTACCTTCATAATTAAGGATGGACTTCTTAGGACACTGACGAATACAAACCCAGATTGTGTCAAATATTCGAGAGACATTAAGAGGAAACATGAACCTAAATTAAGGCAGATTACATTGTCTATAATTTTGCAACTAGCCACTAACATCTCACTTCCTTTCAGTCATATTCTGCCCGGAGAACTTAAATTTCTTCTTCGACCCAGTTTTGTTGGAACGGATCCAAATTGGACCATTATTACGACCACATGTATTACCGAAGCTATCTGATCCGAAGATTACGCGGTACGGATCGCCGGTCTCCATCGCATACCAAGCGATGCATCCCTGAAGTCACTTCAAAAACAGAGTAGAAAAACGCCCCTGAAACATCTCATATGCTTGTTCTTTAGGAATATTTCAATAATTCATATCCGATTTTGAGAACCATTCGAACCATAACACAAACGACGCTCTGGTCACGTGGTTCGCAAAACATTCACAATATTAAGATGATGCTGAGATATTTGCAAAACTCAGTGGTAGTAAATAAAAATGTTAACAATGTTAAGATTGTGATTTCAACTTCAGCCTCAGCTTAACTAAATTCGTTGCCGATTTGGGTCCCCTAGATCAGTCCCAGTGACGGGTGATTGCTGATGGCGCCGATCGATAGTACTCGTTGAGAGACAGCCGAAACGAAGGACCCACCCATATGGTGTTATGGTGTGGTGGTGAACGCGTTACTGCCCGGAAAGGACAATAGCGTGTTCGTTCCCCACCGTAAACACCTGAGGTCCGGAGTTTTGCAAATATCTCAGCATCATCTTAGTTGTATTTCACATGATACTCTGCCGTTAAAAATTATAGTAGGCAGTAAATAAAAAGGTTAAGATTCACAATACTTTTGTAACACTTAATAATATTAATGCTGCTGACGCATAATTCAAAAGTGCAAAATGTCGTACCCACCAGGCCTCCACAAAAAATTATAAACAGCACGAGGAATGAAAAGTCAGTGCATGATCGTCGACCTTTCTAAATGTGTTTGCTACAACGTTGCATTCAAAAAAATAAAGCACCATAGAATGTAAAACTATTTAGTTTGTCTAAAGTTTACAATACACAACATACAATATACAATACCTCCCAACGGATTACCGCCTCATCGTCGCTGGTGGGTGTTCTTGGGTATCAGGCTGCGATGCACAACAGTGGGATTCATCGCTTTGGCAGGGTCTCCCAAGCTGAGAAGGAGCTTGGCGTTTCTATCAGGTAGCCCAGCTAATAGCAAACCAATGCCAGGACTTACCACCGTTCTGGTATCAAACCAGTCGCATGGAGGCAAACCTCCCTTCGATTCACATGGGCGGCGACTGCCTGTGGTGGTGACTCCAAAATAATGGAAATTACACTGGTGCCCGCCAGTGAGAACGGGCCATCCAAGTATGCAAGTAAGTAAAGTCTACAGTAAGTTTTCCCTCTGCCTTTAATGACAAACGAATGATAAAGTTGATGGAAATGAGGACTGCGTTGATAAGTGCAGACAATTCCATGTCTCATATATACATCAGTAATATCAAAGGCGTTCAGAACCTCTCTGAGGTTTACACGAAACCTCTCTCAAATCGCAGATAACAGCTGTTGCCTAACTAATATATTAAATATATCAATGAATGAAACTAACATGTAGCAAATTTTCATAGTTGTCCTCTGACGTGTCGCCTACGCAACATCCAAATGAACAACACATAGACGAAGATCCAACGAAACCACAGGTTAGTGCCTGAAATCTATACTTAAAGCCACAAGTATAAGTCCTATGCAAGAGGGATGAGAAAATCGAGGCTAGGAAAAGAGGAAATAAGGGAACAACATGGATATGTGTTGTGAAGCCTGTGTCAGAAAGCGATGAACGAGAACAAAACGATGGATGCGAGGGAGAAGTTACAGAAAACATTCGCACGGAATCTTTTAGACAGGGAATAATCTAGAAAAAGAAGGACTGATAAGGGTTTTGCCACTATGGATTAAGTATAAAGACTAATACAACAGTGTTTACCTAGAAGGGACAACACTATTCTAAAATCCTAGACGGATTTGGAAATGGAACGATCGATAATGAGAAGCTATCGATATCGATCGACTAACCATTTCTACCATTACGTCAATAACTATGACTTATCTCATTGTAATAGGTGAATAATTCACGATGGATATATGGATTAAAGCCACCGTCGTTTGGTTAGGAAGGTTTTCCTCAGACCAAACGTTACCGACAAGACTTCATGGGAATGACAGGGGATAACATATCAGTCCCTGACTCATCGTTGATCGATACCAGATATCAAAACGATGATATAGAGATGGGTCGATCGATTAAAAGACTAAAACAGCTTTTCATTATGGACCTTACAGATAGATTAATAAGCAGGTGTTAAGGGCTTCTACCAAAAATATTAATGTGAAGAAGTACAAATTCTAAGAGCTCGCTAGGTAACGTTGTAAATCTCACTGTACCCAAACTATGAAGTTTCTGTCGTAAATTGAAAATTTATGTTAAAAAACAAGAACAGCAACTCAGGACTTAAAGTGTCTCAACTATCTAAAATCAAAGAAAGCTTGTTGCCTTACAAGTACAAAGACATCTGAGCAAAAACATAACGCGAAGATGTCACTAGAAGATTTTTCAACGATAGCTGGTAAGTGTTCGTAGAAATATGAACAGAGTTCTGCAAAGAACTGGACTGTGAGGTTAGGTGACACACCATCTGGACCCGTGATCGACGATGTGTTTACAATGATGAGGTAAAGCATAAGCAATAAGTACTACGAAAAACACGAATTCTATGGAATTCGTACTGAAAGCATCTCTTGCAAATCCGTTTCTTAGAACAGCACAATCGATGTGAAATTTGGCGCTCTGTCGACGTTGATCGCCTCGATCAATAACAGCTCTCGTCGAAGTGGGGCAACTTTGCTGCCGTCGAACTTTGGGCTTTTCGTCTGTAAACTGATCAAGGACGTCGTTTCAGGAGTTCAAGCGACTTTTGATTGTCTTCTTCCACCATTTTTCAACAGCAATTTTCTCTCACTGAAACTGGAAGCTTGGATTCGTTTGCATTTCAGCGTCATTGGAACGGATATCGCTTTCCACTTCAGAAACGTACACCATATGACGACCATCACTAGTAAGATAGGATTGTTTTGGTGTGGTGGTGTAGAAAGAAACAGCTTGAATATTCAACAGTGACGAGCGGAATCCACACCTATGCGGAATACCATGAACGGTAATAACCGGGTTCAAAATAGAATTTACGCCCATGGCTACTATCCATTTGAATTAGATTGGAAAGTGCTTAGTTTCTTTTAAAGCATCTGAACTGAACTGTACGAAGAGTTGAATGAATGGACTATTTATTTCGGAAATGAGACTAGGAGAGCGTAGCTTGGATTACTCGTCTACACCCCTCGTGCCGACCCTAGTGCTCGGGTGTGGGTTCGGCTGCAGATTGACGACTTCTTATTTGTCTCCTCAATCGACATTTTGTGTACTAACTGAGTGTGGCTTTCAATGGAATCCCGGAATGGTTAGGTAGTTCCTACTCTTCAGCACATGCTGTCGCTGACCCTCTCATACCGAAAGGAGGGTTTGGTTTTTTGAAAAATTCCGCAAACTCTCTTCGTGTAAAGGATCTCGAATGGGTTAACCCCAAGTTTATATTACTCCTTCCAATTTGGCATGAATGGTTATTAAGTGAGACCAAAGCGATCTTGTTTTTTTTTCCGGCGAATAACTCTGTTGAAAGCCTCATTTATTTGCTGTACAAGTGCTTGTGTAATTGGGAGACTGCCTTCTTGAGTAGTGCAACACTCAATACACATTCCAATTGGTCCATCTTAACGTAATTGTCGTCCATAACAATGATGTGCTTAGTTAAGGTCATCAAAGCGCATTTCATAGTCCGTCGTTTCCAGATGCAGCTGGTTGACGAGTGCTGGAAACACAGAGCTGATGTCTGTCACACATGTTAGGTGATTGACCTCGGGAACGGTCTCGGAGTCTACTCCACAGTTTTCACGTCCATCCGTTGTCAGCTTTTATCTACTCCTGGTCCACCAAGCTCTCCATACTTCCAGAGTCGGAAATCTAGTATCCGACTTATTTCGAATCAACTCATTTCCTACTATCCTCATAACTACATGGGCTGCCCTAGCACAACTCCCACAAAATTCAGAGAAGAATCCATTCGACAAGTATTTGAGAGCAGTTATAAAAGAGACCAAAATTGCCAATCGGGAACCGAACCTAGACTCAAATACAAAGAGCTCCGCTGATGGCGGATGGAAAGACATGGCTGAGATTCGCGCAATATATGAAATCAGGCCATAAAGACAAGAAATATAAATGACACTCTCCATAAACATCGAACATTCTCTATGTTTTCACGCAATCTCCAGACACTTTTTGTAATTGCTTCACAGTTGTCAACTAGTGACTCATAGCAGGTGCGCTCATCTTTTGCCTCGCAGATCTTTACGAGTACTGTGCTTGTATGCTCTTCACAGGTTGACACCTGCATGATGGCTGGGGATTAGTCACGCCTAAAGCAGTGTCATTTGCCTTCAGGAGACTCACAGAAGTCTCCGTCATCCTCCTACACCACTCTACTTTGTTATCTTCGCCGTTCACCCTTCACCCAGCATTTGCATAGACTAGAATAACGCTAACCACCTCTCACACTCTTGCACCGTCGACACCGCAAGATTATCTTCATTTCTCATGTAAGCTCTCGCCGCTACAGCATTATGCTTTGAATCACGCCTAATCAGATTGTTCCACCTGAGAAAAGTTCAACACCCTTTCTCATTTCAACCAGTAGAATTCAAATGACGAGCTTTCCATGTAAATGAGGTGACCTTAACCTCAATTTTAAGCTCTGTCTTCTCCGATTAATCAATACTTGCGCTCTCTGTTGGTATTTTACGAAAGTCAATTACATTAATTTAGTTAGGGGGTGCGTGTAGCGCAGTGGTCGGAGGCGACCTACAGTACACGTGGAATCTATCCCCGCGCCCAAGGCTCAGCAAGCCTTCCATCCATCCGGGATCGACAAACTGGCAACAGACTTGTATGAGAGGATATCATACTGACTAGATACATCACTAGACCACCGCAAGAGATTGTAAAGAACAGATATGCATTCAACCACCTCCATAGATTTTTAATAAAGCCGAATCCATGGCGCAACTCTCAGAAAATGATCAACACTGAGAGCTTTATCCTTTCTCCTTTTCACTAATTTAATTATTGCATGTAAAGGTTT